ATTCTGCCATGCCAAACCATGTACGCAGCAGCCTATGCTTGCTTTAGTTAAAAATAACAGTGTTCTGTGAATGTTGATGCTTTAATAACAAATATTTATCTGTAATTTATCGGTAAGTAATTACTAATTACTTTTGAAATAAAGTAATCAGAACAGTAACGTGATTACTTTTAAAAGGAGTAATCAGTAATTTGATTACATTTTCAGAGTAACTTGCCAACACTGGTCAGGATGAAAATACATGTTCAAATAAAAGACATAAGCCATATTTAACATTTCCCAAATTTACCAGTTTGATTCTGCTGCTTCTACTTCTTGGTATATCAGAAAGAGTTTAGTATGTAAGTCCACTGAACAAAAAATAATGTAATTTTAATAATAAATAATAAAGACTTTTTTTTCCTCACAATTCGGACTTCTTGTCAGAGTTACGTGATATAAACTCGCAATTGCGAGTTATAAAGTCATAATTGCATGATAGAAACGTACAATTCTGAGAAATGAAGTCAGAATTGCGAGATATAAACTCGCAATGGTAAGAAAAAAAAGGCAAAAGTAGGAGGAAAAAGTCAGAATTGTAGGATATAAACAAATAAAAATTGTGAGTTTATATCACGCAGTTGATAATTGCGAGAAAAAAGTCAGATTTGCAAGTTTATATCATGCAATTCTGAGAAGAAAAAAAAATAGAATTGCGAAAAAAAAAAGTTCTGAGATAAAAAGTCAAAATTACCTTGTTTTATTTTTTATTCAGTGGTGGAAATGGGTTTCCATAGTTTAGTTTATTTGAAGTAAAAAGTACTGAAATTAAGAAAAGACCCCTAATAAAGACAAAAATGTTGTCCCATTAGTGATCACTGGAACGGTCATTACCGCTGTAACGCGAGGAGGTAGCATGTATGCCACCATCTCCATAATCAATGTCTACAAGGAAGGTAACCTTGCTATCCAGCAGGCTGGCAAAACCATGAGCACAAAGATTGTCATCCTTTGCAAGAAGTGCCCCTACATCAGACGAGGTAAGTGCCTTCTTCAGCTTTGGTAAATGGTAACACTAACATGCTGGACAGTTTCATCTGCCTCGGAGACCTGCTGAAGCACATCACTGTAACCTCTCATACAGAATACAGAATTGTGTTCCTGTTAGTAGTGCTTCTTTGTTTGTCAGTGTAAAAACAAGGAATTATTTCAGTTTATTTTCCACTTCATTTCTGAGAACAGCATCTGTAGCATGATGTCAGTTACCACAGACTGAAATAACTTACAACAGGTTTCTGTTAACTCAACTGTGAGCTATGTTTGAGTGTAACATTAAAAAAAAGAGTAAACCAAACATTCCACAAATGTTTGGTTAAAAAAAAGGATGCCTCGTTGGATTTTGGTAATGAAAAAACATACAAACTCTTCCCAATTCAAGCAGCGAGTTGCTCTTAAATGTGCATTCAGTAGTATGGTGTCAATTTAACTCTTTCTCCACCATTGACGGAATTTTACATCATTTATGGGACAACGCTTCCCTGCCAGTGACAGAATTGTTTGGCTTTCCGTGTTTTCACTGTTATATGGTAGGGGGCGCTATTACACATCTTCTAAAAGAGTACAAAATCTCTGGATCAAAACAGGTGAAGAAGCAGAAACAAGCGGTCGTGTATGTAAGCAGATGCATATGTAAATAAATAACACAATCATCAAATGTTAAACAGCATATAATGCCTAACCTTAGGCCATGTCCACACGTACACGGGTATTTTTATAAACAGAGTTTTTCCTTCTGTGATAAAATGTCGACTCAGGGTGTGGTTTAGGACTGTGCAAGCTTTGGAGGTGTTGATGGAAGAAATCTACTCCATCTATGTTTTGATCATCATTCTGAATCAAATCCAATCATTTGTCTTTGACAAAAATTTTATTTTCTCAGCTTTTTGTTCAAAATATTTTATTTTTTTATTTTTTTATGAAACTTGCCCACATTCAAGTGTTGATAAAAAAGAATGCAAGAAGCTAGAATAAAATTGCATTTTGTTTAAAAGCAGAGGCTCTATTCAAATTCAAATATTCAAATATTCATACAACAAATATTCTGGGAGCCATGAAAATTTTGTGAAAATTATCAAAAATGCTGGCAAAAAAAAAGGTGGAGAAAGAGTTAAAATGTTTTACATAATAAGAAATAAATAGTATTTTGGTGAACAGTGGTGTTCCATCAATTTGTTCCACGTAAAAATAATAGCTGTAAGTTTGAAACAACATGAGTATAAGTAAATAATGACAAAATTTTTCAGGGTCAACTGTTCCATTAAATTTGTTCAATTAAGTTAGTGGTGCATTAGTCGGCCCATTAAATAGTGCTTGGTAACATTGAAATAAGCAGCCAAGCTCACTGTCAAAATTTTTTTATTACGAAATCTCACTGTCATATGTTTATACGGTATATAAACATATGGAGTGGATAGTGCGAGTGAGGCCCCAAAGAAAAGCTGATGCAAAGCCCTTCCTGAATGTCTCTGCCGTTCCGTCACTGCATTCAGGTTTTTTCTGTGTGACGTCACTAGGTTTGAACTACATCTTCATGGGCCAGGCAGATGAGGAGGGCCGTGGAATGATCGCCCCCCAACATTTCATCATGGCTTTCAAGTCCAAGAACCAGAGGGCCTTCAACATGCTGAAGAACAAACGCTGCTGAGCTCTTGCAGGCAATCTTTGGTCTCAAAATCCACACATGGGTGTGTGTCTTCATATTTGCCCTGCATGTCCCAACTTCCTTCATCGCTCTCTCCAGAGGAGCCCGAGGACTGTTGAAGCACATGGCACACACCTGGTTGGGCTCTCTTGGTTCCTACTTCTCTGGTTGGGCTCTCTTGGTTCCTACTTCTCTTCTTACTGTTGTGATAAGCATCAAATTGGCAGAAAGAGCAAAAGTAGTAAGGCATGACAGGTGAAGAAAGCTAAAATGTAAAGATCAAGATGATGGTGTTTTGGCACAGTTTACAAGATATTTCTAGATTTTTGATCAAATTGCAAAGTTAGAGGAGCTTTGTTGATGATGTCTAAAAGGCAATAAACTAGTAGCACACCTTTGAAATCATGCTGGATACATTTTGTCTATAAAATATTTTCATAGAAACGGATACCTAGTGGTGAATGTTAAGTTATAAATTATTTGTTTTATGAAAGAAAAAATAAAGTTAATTATCAGTTAAGTCTTGGATATTGTCTTCATGATTTATTTGGCATCTGTTTATTTGTATTGTAAATTTATTGCATTTTTTCCAGAATCAGATTTCAACTGATTTGAAAATGAAGATTTAAAGGAAGCTTTCAAAGTTCAAAATATTCAAGTAGTTCACATGGTTATGTCAGAACATCTGTTTCTAAAATTGCCTAGGGCTCAGAGTGCTTGACTATGAAGGGCACTATTCAAACGTTTAACTCCTTAATAAACTCTTGAAAGGGACATATTCTACAATTATTTTCAGGTTTATTTTTTTAAGAGTTTCTTTTCAGCATCAAAATACCAAAAAAACAAAAAAATCATATTAGATATTCTCAGACGTCTTCAACCCAGCTCCTGGGCTCAGTGGGTTTGTCCTGTGGAGTTTAGGTCCAACCTTAATCAAACACACCCGAACCAGTCAATCAAAGTCTTCATGATCACTTGACATGAACAAAATTACATGCAGGTTAGAAATAAACGTTGCAGGACAGTTGGTCTTCAGGAGCAGGGTTGAAGACTGTGTCTTTACAATACATTAAATGTGAATTAGTCTTAAAATGCATATTCAAATACTGCAAGTTACTAAGAACTTATGCAAGTTCAATATAAAACATTTCTTCATAATAAATGTTATTTATTTGAAAAGAATGACACTTTTAGAAAACAAGTAGGATGCAAGAATATTACATAAGTTATGATTCTGCAGGCTTTGGTGTAGAATAAACAGAACTTAATACTATTCCAGTAGAGTCCCAGGACTTTTTCATCTTCCAAAGAAAAAGAAGAAGAGTGTTGTTGAGCATGCTGGGTCACTTTTACTAAATGCACATGGCTTAGCTTCTGGGGTAAAACATGGCATATTTGGAGGTGCGGAAGCCCAAAAGGTCCCTCATTTCATTGCGGAACTTGGAGAGGTCTTGCCGCAGATCATTGAGGTTCTCTACCGTGGCCTGGTCCGTGCTCTGCATCTTCTGCCTTGTAGAGGTCAGGTAACGGTGAACAAGACAGCACATAATCTTCTGATAGTTCTCATCTCTTTTCTGCTTCAGGTTTCTCCATTCCTGGAATCAAAGAGTTAGAGGATCACTGGCAAGCTGACTGTAAGGCATAATATGTCTAGAGCTTGCTTCTCTTTCACTAACATGGTGCCAATTCCAAGTTACCCCTTTTCCACCAAAAGGGTGCACACTGTGGTACCAGACCCGGTTCACGGCCAATGCTCAGGCAACCCTATTGCAAAGTGGTGTCATTTTTTCCACCGAATTGACAAATGAACTGTAACAGGATGTTAAGTTGCTACATGTTAATTATGCTACTACACAAATAGCCCAAAAGATAAACACAGCGCCAGAAGTGACCAATCCTGCTCCTTGAGGGGCAACTTCCTGAAGAGTTTAGCTCCACCTGCCTAGAAGTTTTGAGCACTCCTAAAGATCTTGACTACCTGACTCAGTTGTATTTCAATTACGTTTAAAGTTAAAGCCTTTCGGGTGCAGGATTGGCACCCATGGTGTATGCAGTTATGGAGTTGTTCATAGTACTGAGAGTGATTCTTGTGTACCGACAGTTCTCATAAACCAGGGGTGTCCAATCCTTTTCCTGGAAGGCCACTGTCCTGCAGAGTTTAGCTCCGACCCCAATAAAACACACCTGAGCCAAGGTCTAACTAGGCATACTAGAAACTTCCGGCAGGTGAGCCGAGGAAAGTTGGAGTGAAACTCTGCAGGACAGTGGCCCTCCAAGACTGAGTTTGGACACCCCTGTCCAAACCCCTGCTGAGTTTAGCTCCAACACACCTACCTGTAGGTTTCTAGTAATCCTGAAGATCTTGATTAGATGGTTCAGCTGTGTTTACTTGGGATTGGAGCTAAACTCTGCAGGAAGGTGGCCCTCCAGGAACAGGACTGAACAACCCTGTCATAAACTTTGAGCTCTCTGTTGTTCCTGCTCTCGAGAGATTGAAACTGGACAGGCAGATTTACTGTCTTTATTTTGCATATGGACAGGTGGACATATGGACACTCTTGGTTGTCCACATCAGGGTTGGAGCTAAACTCTGCAGCGCATTGGCCCTCCAGGGCAGAGATGTCTTTAAGAGCAGGCGTTTTTACTTGATTGTCAATAGGTCAGTTATCCATATACCAGTAAATGCAAATTATGGATAGACAGTACAGTAGGCAGATTTCCCAAATATAAGGGTGCTTTCACACCTGTAGATCGATTGCTTTGTTCCGAAACAGGGATTCAAATTATTACAATGTTGCTTTTTATTCTTGGTGCGGTTCGCTTTCACATGGCAAAGTTTCTAAACGGACCAAATTTGTTAATACAAGTCACACGCGTGTTGTCTCATTGGTCAAAGTTCCACGGTTTATTTTCCGAGATTCCACTTAGCTGTCACGGCTGTCATCCGTCATCCGTTTTTTTTTTTTTTTGTAGCTGTCCTTATATTAATTTATCATTTTGAGCAGGAGTCCAGGATTTATCAGGAAAACATTTTTAAAATTCACCTACTAGGAAGAAGAGCAATAAGAGATCCGGGCGCGATTGCCGTGTTCACATATGCCCAAACGAACCGAGCTAAGGGCCAGAAACACGCCAGGTTCCGAAACAACGAGCCAGGTGTGAAAGCACCCTAAGTTCACATATGTCTTACATACCTTGAGGCTATTCTGTCTCTTGACCTTGCCTGTGGAGGTGTGGGAACAGATCCATTTGCTCAAGCTGATGACCAAGTAACACACGGTCTTGGGAGAGGGTAGGATGTTGAAAGGTGGAGGCAGTGTGCACTTGTCATCGAAGTAGCTGAGCCACAGCTTGGCCCGGGCAAACTTCCACTCCTTATCTTCATGGTTCTGCAAGCAGATAAAATCATCAAGGTACAATAATGCCTTCACTACCTATTGCTACCTGCCTGATGCATGTTTCCACATGTACAAGTAACTACATGTATATGTACTCATTCACATCTTCCTGATACAAAGAGTAATATACCTGAAGATTGCTATCTGTTAGTATTCCCATTTATCACAATTGTGAGTGATTAGTCACATGGCACTTGATGGCTCAGGTGATTTTTTCCAGAACTGAGTGTCCATAAGCAATGATGTCAGGTTCCAGGTCACCTATTTCCAGTGTTATATGTGCCAGCTGATCAAAGTTTGTTGAGATGAACAGGAATTAGGGGTGGGGGAAAAATCGATACAGCATAGTATCGCGATATTTTCCGTGGCAATACTGTATCGATGCACGGATGCCAAGTATCAATCTTTTATTATACTATTTGGTAGAATAATAAAATCAACTTCTTTACAGCCCACTAGATGGTGGTGTTGAGTTTTTTCTGGTGAGGTCAGCTGGGTCACCTTCTGCATGCAGCAAGTTAGTATAATAAAGATGGCGGCATCGCGGAAAGTTATCAGGAAAGCTCCGTCCACGTTTAAATCGGATGCAAGACTTTGTTTTATTTATTTTAAATTTAACTGTGATTTACTTTCAAATGCCCCAATTGCTGAAGGGTCTGCACTAGGGCTGCACGATTAATCGAATGCGATTGCCATGCGTATCTTGTCAGTAAAGCCGGTTCTGTGATTAGTAGTAAATCTCCATCACGTGCTTTCAGATGGAGCAGCATTTACTAAACAGAGCCGTAGATCACTGACAAGCTATGCAAAATCGCGTTCATAATCGCAGACTAAATAATTAGTTATTGAAAAGCACCACATTTAATAACATGTTTTTACTCCAAACTCACTTCATAACATCAGTCGAGTGTTTTAAATAAATCCTTCTGTGAGATGATGTGGTATCTTACACAGAATAAGGCATGCAACATATTTCATAGTATTCTAAGCAGTGATAAAGGCTATGTCGATTAGCATTGCATTATTATATACTTTATTATAATAAAAATTATAATAAGGAGAACTCAGATAAACCTGATCAACCAAATATATTGTCGTAGTTGTGTGTTTATTAGTCACGTTGAATCAATGAAAGCAGTTAAATCCTCTGTTTATTCAGCTGCAGCGATAGGCATTTCCTGGATTTCTTCTTTGGGGCATATTTGGAATTTCAGCGCAAGAGTGCCCTCTGGCCGATTTACTACTGATCACAGAACCGTGCAGCAATAAAATTGAAGTGAGATAAACTGAGAAAGGTTTATTTTTAGTTAAAACAGTTGTTGCCAAAGTTTTCCTTTGGGGACATAATTTAAAGTTGGAAAAAGGTAATAATTACAATATATCGCAAAATATCTCAATATATTTAAAATCGCAATAATATTGTATCGTGACACAAGTATCGTGATAATATTGTATCGTGAGGCCTCTGGTGATTCCCACCCCTAACAGGAATGCTAATGGATAGACCTCCTTCAAACAACCGATTAGACCACATTAAAATCTCTGCTGCCCCCATCAGGTTTGGAGAACCCATAGTGTTTATGTGATGTTAACACTGAATGAATACGTGAAACTTCATTTTATTAAATCTACTTGTCGGGAACACAATTATGGTACCATCATGTATCATGTTGAGAAAGCATCAAATCATCTCAAGGGTCACTTACAGCAATCTGTCTGAAGCTCTTATGCAGCATGGCCACCAGGAGTTTGGTGAGAACGATGACCACAACAATGTTGTAGGTACCAATGATAAGAGCACCAACAAACGACCGCAGCTCCTCTGTGTAGCTAATCCTTGTAACAAACAGAGCCACATGTGCCAGGGAAAAAATGTACCAGAAGAGGGCGTAACATGTCCCCATAAACCTGGAGAAAGTTAAAGATAAATGATTATGGTAAAAGATTTCATTAAAGCAGACCTCTTTTTTTACCTTGCATCTTTAGAACAATGATTTATGGCCTTGTCCCAAATCGCACCCTAAACCACTGTGGTCTTCCTCTGAGTATACATTTTCGTGGCGTAATGCTGCTTTGACTGTCATGTAAAAGTCAAAAGGGAGCATAGTGGCTGCAAAGGGGGTGCTCATGAGCACCCTTCTGAAAGCTAAAATGATGAATGGGAAACCATACGGTCTTGTGGACTTGATAGACAGGTGTACACGGTAGCCATTGCAAGTCTGCAAGACCGCAAGTGCACATGAAGTGTGCCAGTTGGGACAGGGCTTGTGTCACAGAAAGCTAAAAACTGTTTTGTCTGTCAAATACTTTTCAAATGGGTCATATCATGAGGAAGAACTCAGAACTCAAAACTGCCTCCCTAGTCCAAGAAGAGCATTTTTTGAAACTAAGATGCAAAAACTCATTTTGAAAGAAAAAATGCATGATATGGCCCCTTTAAATATTCAATTCTCCGATTAGTGTAAATGAGAAGAAATACAAAGTACGTGTGAAAGGTGTCGTTGCTCTGCTCTCGACAGAAGATGCCCTCGCAGTCCTTGGTTATATTTTTGGAGCTGGATAGGTAATTGTCTTTTCCATAGAGTTGTGTCAGGCCAATGGTGAAAGAGATGAGTACAAGCAAGAATAAGCCAAGAAACTTCCCAAACTCTTGTAGCATCTGGCCCATGGAGATCTGCAATGATAAACACACCAGCCCTTCCACATCAAAGCCTGAGCAGTCCAGACTGACTTACATATAGAGATACCATAGGGATCTATAGAAAGGTTCCTATAACAAGAAATATTCCAAGTTAAATACAACTTAAGATCCACTGTCATCATGCTGCTTTCTGTTGATTACCAAAGGAAAGCATTTTGATGCATTGCTGTTTGGAGAAATGAAGAAGAAATACAAGATGTCAGCACTGAAATTAAATTTTAATGGTTTCATTAATTTTCATTAAGTTTTGGCTCTTATTGGAGTCCATATAAAAACACAGTAAATATAAAATGACCAATGAATAAATTACAAAATGAAGATAAATCTAAAACAAACAAAATACCAAACTTTTTAAGTTTGAAAAGAATTTAGTATACTTAAATCCAAGTAAATATGACTATTGCATGCCTTAAGAAAAAAAATATATATAGCACATGAGACATATGGACCACTTTTACAATATGATGTTTTTTTTTTAGCTTGTTTGTTTTGGTCCTTTTTGGAGATGATCATGGAAATGGTTTCAAACATGTTTTTAATTTAAGTAAATATGAGTAAATATGATAAGTGGTGGATGTCATTTTAACTAATTCCATATATAAGATAACAACTAGTCACTGATAAACACAGCTCAGGTAAATATTGGTTTGACCCATTAGGGGGTAATGGCAGGGGAACATTTCCTGGTAGCTACATTAAGCAACCCTTACCTACAGTACACACATACAGTAGACTAGTTTTTTTTAAGGTGTCTGCCTCTATCTGTGCTTTCTAGATTCCACTGGCCTTTCCAGTGTGGGTTGAGGTAAGGGACAAGATGAATTCCTTGTGTCAAGTCTGACTGGTGAACCATAATGTTCTGTACTGCGTGTTTGCTCTGAAACATAGCCAGGATTTGGAGGATTTTTTTTTTACAACTCCCATTAAACAAATTCATTTTCTTGTCACTCTCAAACCCCTGGTAGGCATTTTCCACATCTAATATTTTTCAACCTTGTTTGAACTATGGTATTTGCAGTAGCCATTTGAAATGTATGTCTCTGATATGAAGCCCCAAATCCAATCCCTAAGTGATTACGCTGGCTGAAATAACTTTTTTGAGTATTCTATTTGAAGCCTGATTAGAAATCTTATAATACTGTGACCAGTGTTGGGGAAAGTTACTTTTAAAAGTAATGCATTACAATATTGCGTTACTCCTTAAAAAAGTAACTAATTACGTTACTTAGTTACTTTTTATGGAAAGTAATGCGTTACGTTACTTTTGCGTTACTTTTACAATCTGGACAGGGCTTGCTTTTTTGTTTTTAAAATAAAAAAGTTCTATTTTTGGCAAATATAAAAGCCTTTTCACACCAAAAGTGAAATGAATAAGCCTCAGGCTGTAAACAGTACAGTAAATTTACGTCCGTACAGTAGAATACAGAAGAAGAAATTTCAACACACTTCAGCAATAAAAAAAGACACTCAAATGTTTGTCTAGAGTAATTTTTGCTTATTAGTATGGTTGAACTGGATCAACGAAGGACAGAAGCAAAGACATTGGTTAATAGAATGGGATTAAATACATAAAGGATATTTGTGTTGTTTAACATTTAATTATTGCAGGTTTGCGTCATATTCTGAGTTGCACATACTGAATCTCTGTTTTTTTTGTGAGTGAGATTAATTAATGCATATTCATATTTATTTTAGAACTACAGTAACATCTTCTGATTTCTCTCAACATGGGGACAGGAGAGCTGTCAATCAATAAATTGAAGAAGAAAAAAAGTAACTTGCGTTACTTATTTGAAAAAGTAACTCAGATATTCTCTTGTAAATTAAAAAGTAATGCGTTACTTTACTAGTTACTTGAAAAAAGTAATCTGATTACGTAACTTGCGTTACTTGTAATATATTACCGCCAACACTGACTGTGACTGTGTTATAAAACAGTTCGTTTGAGTCCACTAATCTGACTGCTTCAAGAGTGCTGATATTTTGTATGACAGCACTAGAATGTTTCATTGTTTATAAATGTTCATGATACTGATTAGAGTAATATTTATTAATAAAAATATGCAAATTAATGTTGAACAGCATTATTTTAAATTGATTTTTTTTTTTTTTTGGTAACAATGATATGATCTATTTTCATCCATTTAATGCATCCTTGCTATTATTAATATTATTAGTATTAATTTTAAAAAAGGATCTTACGGATCCCAAACATTTAAATGGTAACATATAGTATGTGATCAACTGCAATAGAAAGTATCAGCACAGAAAATGGGGGGAAAAACACAGATTCCATCTGGCTCTGCTAATGACTCTTTTATGTCCAAGCAAGCAAGGGTTTGGCAAGACACCAGCCCATCAGATATTGCACAGCAGGCATGTAAATGATCGGGGCTTCTCACCCTGACAAACTCACACTAATTCAGACAGTTACTGTAGCTATACAAACACCATATTACTCCTTAAATTTAAAGTTTAAGCAGTCAGTTTGACATCTCAACTCTTGCCCTCACAAAGAAAGAAATATGTCCCCAGACGTTTATCCAGAGGTGAGTCAGTGTTTTCCACTTATCTTTACTTGGGGAGATTTACTGGACACTCTTAGCCAAACAATGAAGCATGAGGGAGTAAATGTCTGCCTTCCCAGTCTGCTGTGTGAAAACTTGACTGTGCTCTTTGTCATTCTTGTATCTGTACATCATATGTTTGTATGGTAGAGGGAGTGACATAGAAAGCATTGAAGCATGTGGGTAGGTTCATGCATTTACAAAAAAAAGCAATAATACAAGGCACTTTCCTCTAAATAACTTGAGTTGGGTGTGTGTTCATGTGTCAATGCATTACAGCTGAGAGTGTGTGTTTGTTCATATGCATCATTCCAACCGCAGTCCTTGAGCGAATTACTTTTCCATACAGCAGAGCCAGACACTGATGTCAGTCTAAGAGCTCGTGCTGGAGAGCACACATAAGCTCAGAACTGACATGGTGTTACTCATGCCGAATACCGGAGTCCTCAGAGAAGAGCACTGCTGTATTATGCAACCTCTCTGAAACTACTGCAGAAAGACGGCTGCTAAAGACAGAGAGCTGCCGAAGTCAGTTATACAGGGTGAATCTCATGAAGACTGGAAGACTGAAAAAGTGTAGCATTAGCATTGCCAAAGTCACGGATTTAATCACGACAGAGTGATACTGAACATCTAAACAAACATATGCATGCTTTGACGGCTTATCTTTCATCATTCTTCAAGATACAATAAAATGTTACTTTAACAAGTGCATGTTATGTGCCAAGTAAGAGAATTATCAAAGGCCAATCCAAGACGTGTTATAGGTTGCCCACCACAGTGGCTGGAGGCAAAATTTCCAGCTCACTCTTAATAATTTGGGATCTTTGGAGAAACTTTAACATCCATAGAACCTTTCCATTAGTTTGTCTTTATAGTGGAAAAAGGTTCTTTAGATCATTCAATCTGATCACTTAATGGTTCTTTGGAGAACCCATCACTACCTGCATTTGGCATGAGATTCATGAGATTCACCCCCACACTATAAATTGGACATTCCCAGCAATAAATCCCTATAAATGAGAAATGAAACCCCATGGCAGAGATCCAAGAACAGAGATTTGGAAAAGAAAAACAACTCAATTGAAAACAGACATTTGCAGCACTGATGAGACACACAGGAAAAATGAGAGAACTCTCAGGCGTTCTGTGTTATCGGTGCGACCGCTGGGCATTACGTAACAGAAGAAAAAACTTCAGTGGTTAAACACTCCATTGGTTGTGGCAGTGAATGGATAAGAAGTACAGACAGAGGAAGTTGTGATTACCTGTAAAGGCCCCAAGATAGAGCTGGTGGTGTACATGAAGAACAGACGGAGATAGCTCAGAACATTGGCGAACGCAAAAAGGCCTTCAGCAACCAAGAGGGGATGGAATGCATCCCAGTTTTTCCTCTCTACAAATGGCTCTTCCTCAACGTTCTTAAACTGAAGCAGAGGACAAGGGAAATGCTAAATTATGTAATTTCTACAAAATAACTATATATAACAACATACATATATATACATATATGTTTATATATATAAACTTACTGTGATATAACAATATGGCTCCTTCAAAAATGAAAATCCTGTAATTTACACATCCTTGTGTTGTTTCAAACTCTTAATTTTCTTCTTCAATGGAACACAAAGGATAAGTTGAGGAGAATAGTACTTCTTTTGTGTACCACGGAAGAAAGTCAGTCATAGTTTGGAATGACAAGAATTTTCATTCTTGAGTAAACTAGTCCTTTAATAACTTGGTAAAGTGCTCAGAATGAAATGTTCTGGACAGGGTTTATACCTTGCTGTGAGCCACCACTTTTAGGGCAAAAGTGGCCAAATAAAGAGAGTTCATGACAAAACTCAGCTGGTTCCGTGACTCTTCCAGGAAATCCTCCAATCCCTCATACCACAGACGCTTCACATCAGACCACACCATGCCTGCAGAGAGAGGAATTTGCCATCAGTGCAAAGAATCGTTCAAGCAGCAAATCAGAAATTCCTTACTGCTGGGGGTTTTCAATCACCTGTCAGGGGCAATGTAACTCAAAGAACCATGCCTAGCAGAAATATTTAACTTTTTTTTTTAATTTAAATAAAAATATTTAATTATATTTAACATATAACTGTAAGTAGCAAAAAAAAAAAGTCTGCACTAAGTCTAAAGAGTGCTGTATTTACAGTATTTAGTATTTACTAGTATTTACAGTAGATGCTATTTATACTAAGTGCAAATACTGGCAGATACCATTTGCACTTCAACGTGTTGTAGTACATAACAAAACAGCATGCAGTAATAACATATTCAATGTACTGTGTATGATTAGATGTTGCCTTATTGGGACCTTACTTGTCCCTATCTCTAAAGCCCACACCTAACCCTAACAATATTGAAGCTGCTGATCAGTAAAGGTGTCCTCAACTATCCAGGAATCGAGGTATGGTTTTGAGCATGGTAATAATAATATGACTGTCACAGTCAATATATCAGCCATAGATAGATGGATGGATATATACTTTATTAATCCCAGAGAGAAATTACAAACAAATCAAGGACAATTATAGGCCTCTTAACCCGCTGATGTCATTTGGACATTTTTTAATGAAAAAATTGCATGTTTGGGTTTTTAAATTATTATTATTATTATTATTTACATCATCTGAAAGGTACAAAACTTGGTATAGGTTTTGGCACTTGCAATATATATATATATATAAACATGGACATGGACATGATTCGAAAAGGCTAAATGGTCACACCTGGATTGTGGAAATGATTTGAAACTCAAAATCTTACTGAAAATCAACGTCAAATTTAGAACACAACTTGTTTAGATATATGGCTATGATTTTCTTGCAGTTTTAGTTTGAAACATGTTTTAGAAAAAATATTGTATATAAATTTGCGAAAATTGTAAGGCTCTGCTCCGATGGGCTGAATATAATTTTCATGACAAAATCTCTATTGACATTCTATTTACGTCATTTCTGAGGTGGCTAGTATCCTGGGTGTGTTACTAAAAGCAGTAAACAACACCATATTAAGATGAAAAGGAAGGTGATGTGATCAGAACATATTGGACATCTAATGAAAAATTATTTTAAATGTTATGAACTGTGATGTATATTCGTAAATTTGCAGTGTAAAAGAATCCTCTTCCTCCCTCTAGTGGTGTTCATGCAGTCTTCATTTTCTTCAAACTTGATCATATGATATTCTTAAATCTACAGGCATTTGAGGTCATAAGTCATAATGTACTTTTTATTTTATTCATGAAGGTTGTCTTTAAAGAAAGAAATTTGACAAAACCTAAAACAAGTGCCATTAGCAACAAATTACCCAGTGGTATTATGCTAACGCACTCTAGAGAGATGCTAACCACTAGTGTTGATTACTTCTGCATCAAGGAACATTATCTACAGTGGGTACGGAAAGTATTCAGACCCCTTTAAATTTTTCACTCTTTGTTATATTGCAGCCATTTGCTAAAATCATTTAAGTTATTTTTTTTTCCTCATTAATGTACACACAGCACCCCATATTGACAGAAAAACACAGAATTGTTGACATTTTTGCACTGTATGTAATTTATCAGTCATACTAATGGTGTTGTAGAATTATGAAGAACAGATGGACGAAATGAATGTTTATACTGCAAAGAAGTCCAAGGCTGGTGGGTTTCTATTAATTATTCTATTTTTTTTAATCTTTTGCTTTTTGTTGAAACAGCAATCACAGCACAACATTCTTATTTGGTTCATATTTGTCAGATAGAAAGCACATGCAGAGAAAATAGTAGATAAAAAGTGTTCATGTACATACACGTATGCCGTCTATCCTCACCTATAATCCAGAGAATGAGAAGGTAGTCTATCAACTCCAAAGGGGGACCCATGGTGTTCTTCTTATCCTCGTTGTAGACCAGTGAGTAAAGGTTTAGAAGGAGCAGGAAGGTGAAGTAGGAGGCACTATGGATGATGAACTTGATAAAAGGTGTGTGGATGACCTGGCCCACTCGAGAACGGGGTCCCAGCAGGTAACAGATGGACAGCAGAGGCCACATCAGCGCCACGCTCAAAACAGACAGGATCTTCAGGCATGTGTGCTTACGGCGGTAGCTCGCCATCTCGCCAAACCACACCGTGTTCAGGAACTGCTGACAGTTGGACTGGGCAACGAACTGTTCAGATTGGAATACGAGAAAATGCATTAAAAAAAAATAATAAATGTGCCTGGTGCTTTCTTATAAAATAAAGGTTGATATATCAACAATATCTGGTCATTGGTTAAAGGTATAGTTCACCCAAAAATGTAAGTTCTATCTCAAGTTGTTCCAAACCTGTATGAGTTTCTTTCTTCTGTTGAGCATAAAAGGAGATATTTTGAAGAATGTTGGAAACCAAATAGTTGACGGTAGCCATTGACTTCCATAGTATGTTTTTCCGTACTATTAAAGTCAGTGGCTACCATCAACTGTTTGGTTACCAGCATTCTTCAAAATGACTTCTTTTGTGCTCAACCAACATTCTTCAAAAGATGAAAAAAGCTCATACAATTTTGGAACAAATTGAGGCTAAGTAAACGATGACGGAGTTTCAATTTATAGGTAAACTATCTCTTTAAGGTTGTTAACCGGGGCACATTTCCCAAAAGCATCATTGGCAGGTTTTGCTGTTAGCAATATAGTTCCACGATTTGTTGTTTCCCGAAACCATTCTTCGCAAATAGCATTGCAAAGTTGTGTGGATGGAACTGTAGCTCTCAAAGTACTGTATAGTTTCACGCTAGCATGACGTGAACTTAAATAGATCTTGCTTTTGAGCAAAATAAGCAAGCTAATGTGCATGCTAACATTTTTCATTCCATATACTGTATACAAATTTCATTCTATGTCTTTCAGTTTGTCAAGAAAATGAAAGCACTGGATGTGTATGTAGGAACCTTGATGTTAGAGTGAAGTTGGGATGGAATAAAACATCTGCAATTAAAACAAAACAATGGAGAACAAAAATAGCAAAGCAGTCCACAGTGTTCGTTATTTACAGCCATAATGACATTCAGATCAATTAGCAAAAGCTACATCACCTTTGTGATGTGAATTATCATTGGTTCTCTATTGTTGAACCAACGTGGTTTGAACAACAAATGTGTGGCAAAGTTACTATGTTTCGGGAAACAGACGCGACAAGCTAGTTCATTTTTCCAACGATGTGCCGTACTATGGTAGTTAAGCAGGCAAGTTACATCATTGTATGGGAAATGCACCCCAGGCTGTTGAAGATACAAGCATAGTTTTGTTAAAAATCCTCATTAACCTCCTTTTGGTTGTATTTTATGGCCAGTTTGAGGCGACTGAGGTTCATGCGTTCCTCTAGTAGGCCTCTCTTGTCTACATGGTCCTCACTGGACGTGTGGTTCAGTATGACCTCCAGCTCGCGAGAGTTGCGGGCCTGAGCCAGCAGGTCCTTGGCGAACATCTTGCATTGCTTGGCAAGTTCTTCATAATCATTCCTGTAACATAATGACAATAAAATCCCGAATGAGAAACCTTTCTATCTTCTAGATCTGTCATGGACTTGGGTGACACTGTTTTGATGTCAATCAAAGAAGACTATAGAAATTGTCTGGACTGTGATTGTTTCATAGGGGAACATGGGAGAGTGTCAACATCTACAGGTCCCTAGATGTGCTTGTTGGCAATTTTTATTGCTACTCGAAACAGAAATGCACATGTTTTTGTTCCACCAGAGAAAAAATTTGTCTGAACCATCTACTTTTTGACAAACACAAGGTTTGTATTGTAATATATTTCTCATCCAAATGAACGTCTCTGAGTTGACTGACCAATTCATGTATGCCAACAATTGCTGTAGACAAAACCTCTAGCCACACCTGCTAATGGTGCGTGAATTACATACCAAGAAACTCTTTTGCATTCTTTAAGTTTCACTTAAAATCAAATTACTGAACTATTTATTCCTTATTCGTAGGGATGTAACAATTCGCTCAACTCCCAATTCGATTCGATTCACGGTTTTGATTTCACGATTCGATTCGATTCACGGTTTTTTTTTTCTTATTTGCGACAAAAAGGCACCATATGAAATGAATCACTCTCTTCCTTCCAAGCAAACCTGAAGACACATTGTGAATTTGTTTAAATTTTTGCTGTTGATTTGGAATTTTACTCAATATGATCAAGTCTGACAATGGGCAAACATCCTCGCTCTTTTTAAATTAACTGCTATAAATGCATGCATGTAAAATTGTCAAACCAATTTGCTCTTTCCATTTAGCAGCGATCCCTATGAGACCTCTTTCCCTAATCACTCTTCCATTACCGAAACTCCACTTCCACCAGGCTCAGCTCTTTCAGATCAGCACTGAGCTCGAATGCTCTCAGAATGGGGTCTTCTTCCGTAAGCATGATCAAGGATGGGCTAGCAAGGCACCGATAGATATCTAGACGGAACCTGCAAGAGACACGTATGGAGGATGAAATAGAACACTCAAAATAATGCAGTCAAACTCAACTCCACATTGTAAATACACTTTAGGATTGCTGTTTGTGCTTTTCAAATGTGATTAGAAGAATAGGTGATTCTTCAATAGGGACTTCACGGAAGCTCAAGATATCTATCATATACGTTAAAACATTTGTTCTTAAATAAAGATCTGACTATGGCCTTGATAAGTCTTCAATTGTATTCTTGTGTTTTTTTTTCTCCTTTGAACTAATAAATCTCAATTGTTCCTTAAAATGTATTTTTCATTAACACTGCCTCATTGTATAAAATGGCTTTTGCCATTTTTAGACTATTCATTCACTTCATGGTTTGATTAGATAGAAATTATTGCCTTGAGTGACGAAGACTGTCCTTCTTGTTCTTGGCATTACAGAGGGTGCACTCGCACCCTACAGCATGGGGTCGGGGCAGAGAGATGTCTTGCTTTAATAGCATGGTCAAAATCTCATAATTGTTCCGGTGGGCAGCAAGAATGACTGGAGCAACATCCATGGTGGTGGAATACTCTGGGTTTTGAATGCGCTGCATCAATTTCTAAAAAAGGTATTCAAGAATCTGATTATGCAATATGAAATTTTGAGGACAATTTAGTTATTTTAAATAATTCATATACACACACACACACAAACACGCACACACATCCATCTCAACTGAACAGATTGGTTTTATCTAGCATGTTATGCATGATCTGAGGACATGGGTGTGTTCTCACCTGACAGCCATGATCCAAGAGCAACTGCAATATGTCTAGATTCTCATTTTCGATTGAAATGGTGACAGCATCTCTCCCAAGTACATCTACACAGTTAATGTTTAATTCGCCATGTCGTTTCTCCTCCAGAAGTTTCTTCACCATGTAGTAGTCTCCTTAAAATGTAGTTAGGTAACAATAAATTAGCTCAATGGTTTATACAATGACATCAACATATGTTATCAGAAAGAGAGGACAGCAGTTTGTGATGGAAAATAATGTGACCCTTAAAGGAGAGACATCCTTCCCTAAGCCATTTTCGGATTTCTTTATATGGTAAAAGAGTAGCAACCGACTCTTGTCTGCACAATGTAACCAGAGGAAATTCATTCGTTTTCCAAGCTGTTTCTGGAATGCTTGGAAATAAACTATGCACTTCTGTTAAACAACACACTAAACATTGAAGATGTCCGAACCATCAGTCAAGCTCTCAAAATCTACTTATCTCAAAACAAATCACTATTACCTAGAAGTCTGCCATGTAAAATAAATAAAGGAAATTATTATAGTCAGTCATTTTACTTTTAATTCCAAAGCTACTAATGCAATTACTCTTAAACCATTAGAAACAAAACTGTTAAATTCTATTATTTCACTCTCATATCATCACTGTTTCATTACTGTTCTAAGAAATCCAAGCAATTTCGAAACATTCTATTTTGGCACTTCTTAGGTTTCTTAGAATTTCTCATTTAAGTGGCTTTCAATAAATATACAAACTGAATTGAAGTTTATTTTTAAGTGTATATTTAAGTTTTGACATTTGTTTCCCTAGTTGTTCTACATGGGACCAATTTCTTAAAAGTCAAAATATTCTAGTCCGTTTCTAAATTAATATTAGGTCACACAAAAACTAGATTACATGAAATATTTGTACTGTATGTATATCACACCAAATTATTATGTTGTTTTAAGTCAACATATTTTTTCTTCTTAAAAATGTCTTAATTTGTGTCTATATGGTATGATTACTGACAATATGATGATCCGTCCAAACAAAGCGAGAGCTCCACATATATGTAAAATATCAAATGTAGCGCTACCTATATACTACAGTAGGCTATACCATTTTATCAGAACAAAATATTTAGTATTAGAGCATAATTATTTTGACAACAATAATATAAATTCATGTTATTTAAACCCCAAAATAAAAGACATTGTAAAATCAAGCAGCTAAAATCTATAACCTTATTATTATTAATGTATTAAACAATATATTTAAGGAACACGTCCTTTAGAGTGCATGGTAAACAAACTTACCCTTCTCGCAGGCCAGCAGAAAGAGCTTCTCGTCTAGAGTGGTCTCCTCCTTCACCTCTCTGACGTCTTTTAACGCCAGATATTTATCCGGAGAAGACGAGTCCGTGCCCTGATATAGAGCAGCCATTATAACGGAGAGAGAGTACGGCAAAGCACTGATGTGCATCCCACCGAGCAGAGCCTTACACCTTTATACACATGAAACCACCGAAATCACCGAAATTAAAACAAGAGCCCTGGTCAATCTTGATGTAAACGATGCTACGTGCTCTGATAAGGCCCTCACTGTTAATGAGAGACTGACTCCTGTCAGAACTCTTTATGTAACGTCCGCGTCTCCTTTTATGTGTATGGTACGATAGAAAAAACATCCATCAGCATGTATAAGGATCATCTAAAGGTTTTCATAATCAAATCTTCCCTAAACGATAGTAAACACAAGAAGAGGCTGGAGCATCGCGATGTTCTGTTGCGCTGGTGCTGATGATGCTGCAAATGCGCATGCGCGCTTTGTCACTGCCTTTGGAGCATCAATAGTTACATAAGTGATGAATGTCCGCAAGAACCTTTAGCATTAGCAAAGCTAAAGTGCACTATTTAGTATTGTTGAGAGACTGACTCCTGTCAGAGCTCTTTATGTAACGTCCGCGTCTCCTTTTATGTGTATGGTACGATAGAAAAAACATCCATCAGCATGTATAAGGCATGTATAAGGATCATCTAAAGGTTTTCATAATCAAATCTTCCCTAAACGATAGTAAACACAAGAAGAGGCTGGAGCATCGCGATGTTCTGTTGCGCTGGTGCTGATGATGCTGCAAATGCGCATGCGCGCTTTGTCACTGCCTTTGGAGCATCAATAGTTACATAAGTGATGAATGTCCGCAAGAACCTTTAGCATTAGCAAAGCTAAAGTGCACTATTTAGTATTGTATATTTAACAACATAAAATTATTTTGAGCGTGTTTTCGTATTACTACACTTGTGTTTATGTGCCGGTGATGTTTTATGTTTTAAAAACGTTCAATCGAACCATCAAGCAACTTACCAATGAGAAGAATAAAACAAGGAAAAGCGATTAGCAAGGGGAAAACAATACACGCATTGATAACATACCATCCATGTATGATTCACACACACACACACACACACACACACACACACACACACACACACAAAATAAATAAATAAAATAAAATAAATAAGTAAATATTCAAATTATATTTGAATTACATACAAACCTCTATGATTTTCCTATGTGGAAGTCATGTGTAATAATTTATAACAGAATTTCCAGGCAAATCCTATAGCACATGAATGTAAATAGTTATTAGATGCGTAGCAAGGATTTCGGTCTCCCACATGGCTGTGGCTTTAGATAACTTAAAATATAGTGACAAGAGTTTTTATGTAGCTCTTATGGTGCCTTTTTGGACCTTGACCCTTTTCTTTCTCATTTTGAACTTAGGAGAAGAAAGTAGTAAACGTAATAATGAAAGTAAATAATGAAATATATTTTTTTTTCTTTTGGCAAAATTATTTCAAATTCCAAAGAGGACTATGAAGCCAAAATATTTGTACAAATAACATTCCATATGTTTAGGATATGTTATTTAAAGTGATAATTCACTCTAGGGTAAATGTACTTTGTAAAAAAAAACACTACACACCTAACATCACTGTTTTCACAATTTCGTGTTTTTGCAGTTTACATGAAGATGATAATGGTATCATTTTCAAAAACTTGCCAAAAAAACATTCTCTCATCATTTAGGGTAAATGTACTTTGTAAAAAAAACACTACACACCTGACATCACTGTTTTCACAATTTCGTGTTTTTGCAGTTTACATGAAGATGATAATGGTATCATTTTCAAAAACTTGCCAAAAAAACAAACAAACAAACAAACATTGAAAACAGTTTTCAAAGGTTTGCACTTTCAGGCCCCCATTGTCATATAAATTAATAAAGTTTTCAGTTTTTATTTATTTATTTATTTTTTTTTACTTTTTTTGAAAACTGTGTTGTGTAAATGCCCCTTTACTCACCCTCATGCTATTCCAAAACGTTCTTTCCTCTGCTGAACACTACAATATATTTTGAAGAATGTTGGTAACAATGAGAGAGAGGAACAGCACTGTGTAGTGCTTCTCTGTGCTTAAATTAATCTTCTACAATTCAATTTCAAAATTAATTCTGCAACAGCGCAGCACTTCTCTCAAGAAACTTACAAACAATTCCCATGATTAGGTGGACCTCTAGTGGTTCTAAGTTACACAAAATCAACAATGTATAGTTGAAAAAGTGTGAAACAACGCCAATCATATTGGTCCACATGGCTCATGATGTCATAGGCGGGTGCCCGGAAGTATAAAAGGGCACAATCTTGGTCAGGAGCTTGCACGTTCAGTGCTCGAGGGCTCTGAACCTGCTCATTGTGAGTGTTATCCAATGAGAAGCTCCATTCACGTTTGTCCCTCTTCTCGAGAGATGAGTGACAAGCATTTGCGTCTTGCGGTTTGGGTCCCACTGCTGCCGAGGCACGGGCGAAGACTCAGATCGCAGGATTCGCAGGTTTAAGATGCTCATTTTGAGTTATCGGATTGGGCGGATAGCGCTCGAGTCGAGCAGCGCCTTAGGGAATGTGTGCCTCCATGTTTGGATTCTAACACTCAAGGGCATATTCTGCTTTCGCGTTTGTCTCGGCGAAGAGCATGCGTGTTCAGAGTTATGCACTCATCGTGATGAGTCACGATGTCTAGGCTCCACTCGCGTTTGTTCCTATTCCCTAGGGATGCGGAACAAAGCGTTTGTGTCTCGTGGCCCGGTACCGCCGTTGCCGCGGCACAGTTTATCTCACCTTTGCTTTCATCGCTTTGATCTGCGGGATCCGCACACCCTCTCTGAATGGGTTGTCAGATACCACAGATACTATTGGGTTGTTATGACCATGAAGTGTGAGCACGGAGTCGTTTCAGCCCTGATCCTGCAAGATCGTGGGCGGAGCTATATTCAGCTCGGCCGTGCCTCTCTAAATATGCATGTTACTGGGTGTGGAGAGCCTCGCTGGGCGTGAATATATTTAAATACTCTGTGGAGAGAGGCTTGCGAGCTTTCTCTCCCAGGATGTTTCAGCACCTAGAGTGGGTATGGGGAATTTCTCTTCCTGTGTTAAGCCGGGTGGGTTTAGGAGTGGGCTGCCTCCCCAGGCTTCTGGGTATTTTTAAGTGGGTGGTCCCTCTGAATCCCACTTATGGCGCTTTTCCACTGCGTGGTACGACTCGGCTCGGCACGGGTCAGTACGGTACGGCAAACAGCCACTTTTTGGTTGTTAAAAAAGGTGCGCTTGTTCAAAACAGTTGCGTTCGATCCTTCGCTGGCTGTGCTGATTTAAATCTAGCGGTTCTTTTGTGTTTGTGTCGCAAGTTCAGTGACGCAGGTAGTGACGATTCTCTCCGGCCAATCCGTGATCAGCAGAGTTTACACGTCACGTTTTGGTAACGGTACGGTTCACTTGGAACCTCAACCGAGGTGGTACTAAAAAAGTAAAAAGTACCAGGTACTGTACCCAGTGGAAAACCCCCCAAAAGTGAACCGTATCGAGCCGTACCGTGCCGTACCATGCAGTGGAAAAGCGCCATTAGTGGGTTTGGGCTGAGTACACTGCTCCCCCTCTTCTGGGCTTAAGTGAGCAGTCCCTGCTCAGAGTGTAGCTGTCTGCGGATGGTTATGCTCCAGCTCAAGCTTACTTTGCTCTGGAATATGGCGGTCTGAGGGCAGCTATGTTCTAGCCTGGCTTCTATAACTAGGTTGGGTTCCCCTTGGCACAAGTTCTCTCGATTATGCGCTGAAGTCTTTGTCTAGGAATCTGCTATTCGAGGATAGCTGTGTTCCAGCTCGGAGACTGCTCCCCTTTTAGGGTTTTTAAATAGTGGTCTCCGTGAGCCCCTTGCCTGGACTGTGCTGTCTCCCCTTCGGGGTTTTAAGTAGATGGCCCACTTCCGTGGTCTGGGCTATCTTCAGCCTTATCTGAGGGAACTGCTATTCGAGGATAACTGTGTCCAGCCCTCTAGTGTTATGGCCACTGATTACATCAGGCTTTGATCTCGGACTAATGATGTTTATGTGTATGCTCTTTAGCGAATAATTTACTGATGGTCCGGATCTCCCTCTTGTGAGCTCCTGGTCAATAACACAGTGCTTCGCTAACCTTCTGTGGGACTGACACTGCTTGGGAACCTCCTTAGTATAGCCATCTGAGGGTGGTTATATTCCAGCCATTGTTATGGCAGGACGGGCTTATCTGAGGCTAGCTGTGTTTTACTGGCAGTTGCGGTGAGCCCTCTCCTGGAGTGGTCCCCTTTCCTAGAGCCTAGCTATCTGAGGGTAGCTATGTGCTAGCTCAGTGATTGCTCCCCTGCTTAGGGTTTTAAGTAGCGGTCTCCCCTCTTTTGGTTGTAAGTAGACAGCCCACTCTTTGTGGTCTGGGTAGTTTCAGTCGGTCCCCCTTCTGGTAGCCCTTCCTAGGTCCATAGTAGGGCTGTGAATCTTTGGGTGGACAGCGAATCGATTCGATTCACGATTCATAGGTTTTTGATTCAAGAGCGATTTTTGCAAATTCAGAACGATTCCATTCGATTCGATTCACAACTAAATTCGATACCATTCGATTAACGATTCGATTCTGTATTCTTTAAGTGTATTCACAGGATTATTTAAATGCTTCCCCTAAATTCTTTAAATGCTTAGTCAGGGGGCAAATTACACAGCAGCCTTTATGGTTAGAGAACCATAGGTTACAGAAAAAAAAATCACTTTTGTCCATTGTTAGATGCTAGTTTAATGATGCTATGGCATGTCATGGCATATGTATAAATTTAAGTAAGCCAAGATTTTAAAAGAGAGCTTTAAAAGTATTATGTATAGGCTAACATTTTGTCACACCAGGGGCGTTGCCATCATTTCAGAAGTGACAGAAATGTCAAATACAATAAATTTATGTATGTATGTATGTATGTATTATTAATATATTTTTTTACAAGGAATTATTTTCTTATCTCTTACTTTGAATTAGCTGTAAGAAATCAAATACACTGCTGGACAATAATCAATCATTTATAATCTATAATTTTTTCCTAATGGAAATTTTATGACTGTTTTATATACTAAAAACAATCAATTTTCTGCACAGAATAAGGTAGAAAATATACTTTATAGTTTCTGTACTGTAATAAATCATGTCAATTAGCACT